CCCATTTGAATTTTAGAATCAGTTTGTCAACTTCTAAAAGGGAAAAGCTCTGGGATTTTTTAATGTATTTTATTTCAGAGATGGGGTCTCTATTGTCTAGGCTGGTCTTGAACTCCTTGCCTCCAAGCGATTCTCCTGCCTCAGCCCCAACAAGAGCTGAGATTAGGCATGAGCCACCATGCCCAACTAGGGATTTTGATTAGGATCATGTTGAGTCTATAGGTCAATCTTGGAAGAACTGAGATCTCAACAATATTGAGTCTTCTTGACTCATGAATTTGGAGGACCTCTCCATTTGTTAGTGTTCTTTAATTTCTCTCGGCAATGTTGTTGTTTTTTTTTTTCTTTTTCTTTTTTTTGAGACAGAGTCTTGCTCCATTGCCCAGGCTGAAGTGCAATGGCCCGATCTCGGCTAGCTGCAACCTCTGCCTCCCGGGTTCAAGCAATTCTTCTGCCTCAGCCTCCCAAGTAGGTGGAATTACAAGCACCTGCCACCACAACCAGCTAATTTGTTTTGTGTTTTTAGTAGAGATAGGGTTTCGCCATGTTGGCCAGCCTGGTCTCAAACTCCTGACCTCAGGTGATCCACCAACCTCGGCCTCCCAAAGTGCCAGGATTACAGACGTGAGCCACTGTGCCTGGCTGCAATATTTTTTAGTTTTCAGTGCACATCTTGCATATCTTTTGTCAGATTTTTTTCAGTATTTAATATTTTGATGTTACTATAAATGTCATGGCTTTTAGCATTGTAAATTTTGATTATTACTGAGTTTGTTTTAAATCTTTTTTCTATTGAAATATAAACTTTGTAAAGTGCACAAATCTTTTTAAAATTTTCTTTTTTAAAAAAAACTTCTCTTTGGGAAAGCTTTATTGTGAAAAAGACACAAATAAGAGATTTTGTTTGATTCAGTTTGAAATTATCAAGTATAATACACTTAAGGATGGCTTCAATGTTAGACTGGGAAGGTTTTCTCTTTTAAATGAAAGGATCCTTTTCCTAGGGAGATGTTAAGTAACACAGTATAGATGACTATTTTCACTCTTCAGTTTGAAGACGAATTATCCTTCAATAAATGCCCACTTAATCCAGCATGATTACTCCTCCCCTTCTTTAAATTACCAAAGCTAAGTACATTGGCATATTTAGTTATGTCACTTGCATATGAAAACATTTTTTTTTTAACTTTTTTTTTGAGAGAAGTCTCACTCTTGTCTCCCAGGCTTAAGTGCAATGGCTCAATCTCAGCTCACTGCAACCTCTGCTTCCTGGGTTCAAATGATTCTCCTGCCTCTGCCTCCCAAGTAGCTGGGATTAAGGCGCCTGCCACCATGGCCCCACTAATTTTTGTATTTTTTAGTAGAGACGGGGTTTCACCAAGTTGGCCAGGCTGGTCTCGAACTCCTGACCTCAGGTGATCCGCCCACCTCGGCCTCCCAAAGTGCTGGGATTACAGGCATGTAATCCCATGCCCGGCCGAAAACATTTTATTAATGACTTCTTAAGCCTTTGTCTCTCCTTCCTCCCAAGATTTCAATAAACTGATGCCAAGAATTTATGGAGAAAATTTTAAAAACTTTACTGAAAGATAGATATGAGTAACTGAATGAAGCAAGCAATTACGTTCATGGATTGGAAGAGGCAATACAAGGGAAAGATATCATTTCTTCTCAAACGAATCTGCAAAATCAAAGTGAACAATTTGTTGTTGTTGTTGTTAAGAGACTCACACTGTTATGTAGGCTGGAGTGCAGTAACACGGTAAGAGTCTCAACCTCCTGGGCTCAAGTGATCCTCCTGCTTCAGCCTCTCAAGTAGCTGAGGCACGCACAACCATCCTTGGCTAATGCTTTTTTATTTATTTTTTGTAGAGACGAGATCTCACCACCTTGCCTGGGCTGGTCTTCAACTCCTGGGCTCAAGTGATTTTTCTGCCTTGGCTTCCCAAAGTGTTGGGATTATAGGCGTGAGCATGTACCCAGCCTGCATAAATCTTGTGCATAACTTGATAAAATTTTATGTTTGAATACACTGCTGTGATTACCAGCCAGATCAAGATATGTAACATTTCCTGCATCCAAGAAGATTTCTTCATGCTCCTTTTCCCCATCCTCCCTGACAACCAGGAGGTTCCCTTATGATACCTCTCATCTAAGTGGAATCAATCATGATGTACTCTGTCTGTTTTTTTTTTTTTTTTACCACAACTTAATGTATATAACGTTCATCCATATCGTTGTGTGTAGCAGTCGTTCATTGTTACTCATTGCTATATAATATTTTTTCTCCTATTTAAGGACATTTAGATTATTTCCAGTTTTCGCTACCTTGGGTAATGCTGCAATGAATATTCTTCTACATGATCATAAATAATAAATACTCTTGGGTATATGCCCAGTGGTAGAATTATTGGGTTATGGTCTATGTATAACTAGCTTTAGTAGTGTCTGATATAGTTTGGATATGTGTCCCCACCCAAATCACATGTCAAATTGTAATCCCCAATGTCGGAGGTGGGGCCTGGTGGGAGGTAACTGGATCATAGGGGTGGGTTTCTCATGAATGGTTAAGTACCACCCCCCTTGGTACTGTCCTCGCAACAGTGAATTCTTGTGAGATCTGGTTGTTTAAAAATGTGTACCTCCCCCCACCCTACTTGCTCCTGCCATGTAAGATGGCTGCTTTACCTTTTTGCCTTCTGCCTTGATTGGAAGCTTCCTGAGGTCTCTGCAAAAGTAGAAGCTGCTATGCTTCTTGTACAGTCCGCAGAACCAAGAGCCAATTAAACATTTTTTCTTTGTAAATTATCTAGTCTCAGGTATTTCTTTATAGCAATGCAAGAACAGACATACAGTACCACAGTTTTCCAAAATGATTAAACTCTCACCAGCAATATATGAAAGATATAGTTGCTGCATATCCTTGTCAATGCTTGGTATTGGAAGTCCTTTTACTTTAAGCCATTCTGGTGGTAGTCTTGGTATCTCATTGATTTCAATGTCCATAATATATAGAACTTTTTCTCATGTTGGGCCTATAGGTCAGTCATGGAATTCACCCTTTCAGAGGCCATACATTTATGTGTATTGGTGCATGGCAGAGGCTGGTGTACACACATTAGTGCAGAGCCATAACTGGAGCATACCTGAGACTAACCCTGTGGTCTAAGAAGAACCTACGTTTGGAGTCCTGGGCTGAAGAATCCAGGAATAGCCAACCCAGAGATTCACTCCTTATCTATGAAGGACATCCACATACCTGGCCCATATCTTAGGCTGTACAGGAAATCAAGGCCCTTTGTTTTTGGGTTAAATGGAGGTTGCTAGGAGGTGCTAAGTGAAAATGGTATATACACTACATGCTTTTTACAAATGGTAGCAGTTCTCCAGGCCGGCCCACCACTGGACCACCCTCGTATGTAAGTCCTGAATAAATCTTGTCTCCTTCACTGGCTCTGCCTCTCTTCTTATAGTGCCATCCCAATTGGAGTCAGTGGGTCCAGAAGAACAATTGGCCATTTAGATAATATCTGAAAATTAACCAGTGTAATTCACAGTAACATTAAAAAATACAAATGAACATTTCAATAAAGGCAGAAAAAGCACTTGATACTCAATGCTTTCCTCCTGATGTTACGACCAAGACAAGGAAGTCCATTATCACTATTTTTACTCAATAGTGGAAATACTAGCCAGCAACAAAAAGCAAAAATAAATACAAATAAAAGGTATAAAGGTTACAGAGAAGTTAAACCATCTTTATTCGTGGATTGCAAGATTTTGATCGCAGAAATTCCGAAAGAATCTACACAGTATTATTACAAGTAACAAGGGAACTTAGCAAGATGCTTGAATATAAGATCAGTATGTAAAAATCAATATTGTTTATTCTTACAACAAGCAGAATATAAAAAAGTCAAAATGCCATTTAACATAATAAATCTAATGAAAGATATGTATCATCTCTATACTGCAATCTAGCCAAGCACAGCTGCATTAAAATATAGCTATATGGGCAATCTACAAAACATTGCCAGGAGAAATTAAAGACCACTTAAATAAATGGTGGGGTAGAATGATACTCATGGATTGAAGGACTTAATGTTAAGATACTAGTTTTCCCCAAACAGATCTATAGATTCAATGGAAGTCCAGCAAAAATCCCATTTTTTAATTTAACCTAATTCCAAAATTCACCTAGAAATACAAAGGTCGTAGAATGAGCCAAAGCAATCTTGGGAGAATAAGTTACAGGACTTAAAGATTTATTATAAAACTACATTAAGTTAACACAGTTTGGTACTGGTATAAAGTTAGACAAACACTACTCCCTCTCGCTCCTCAATCTGCCCCCATCCCTGGAACATGCTGGCAGCTTTCTCCATCCGATCTGCAAGCGTAAAGAGCGCTGAGGAAGGGCTGACCGACTGGCGTGGGAAACAAAGCGGCACTGAGATAACTTAGGCCACCTTCCTCCCCTCAGTACCTTCGCATGGAAAAGGTTTCCCTTCTTGGTCTCGGAAGCCCACTAAGAAGAAATCCTGGGCTGTGGGGCCGCTTGGCGCGTTGCCCCAGGAACCAGAAGGCTTTTTGCCGCTATTAGGGCAGAATGACTTCCGGTGAGTCCCAGCCGTTTAGGATTCCCAGCCCAAAGATCGCGGGAATCCAAGCGTCATCCGGGCCTCTGCTCCCGGAAGCGACAACGCAGCCGCGAATGAGGGAATGGAAGCGAAAGGACTTGGCTACCTGTGGCAGCCATGATGAAAACTAGGGAAAATGGAAGCTCGAAGTAGCTTGCATTATTAACGGACATACAAACGCCCCTAACCGCCACGCGTTCCTGAGAGATGACAGTACGTTACAAAAGTGCTTCTAAACTACTACTGAAAGCTCCGTGGGAGTGCCCGCTGGCGTGGGCGCCGTGGAAGGGAGGGAGAACGTGTACGCCCCAGGCTTCAGTAACCATGGCTGCGAGGGGCGGGGACTGGGAGCGCTGGTCCTGGGCCGGGGTGGGGCTGGGAGGAATCGGTCCTCCACTGTCCCGGCTGGCCCCGCGCCGGCGTGTCGCCTCCCTTTCCGCTAGCAGCACGCTGCGTGGCTGCTCGTTGGCTAGTTAGGACGGAAGCTCGGTTGGTGTTTCTCCAGAAGTTTCCCCCTTGGGCGGTAGTGGAGGTGGTAACCGCGGTAGTAGCAACTCCGGCGGCGCAACAGTGACTACGAGGGATGGCGGCGGCTGCAGCAGGAACTGCAACATCCCAGAGGTGCGTGTTTTTCTTTCCCTTTGCTATTTATTTTATCCCCCTTTCCTTGGCTAGTGAGCCGTGCTGAAGTCGTTGTTTTCCTGACAGGTTTTTCCAGAGCTTCTCGGATGCCCTAATCGACGAGGACCCCCAGGCGGCGTTAGAGGTGAGAGAGCCCATTTCTGCTTCCTCCACTCTCTTTAGGGGAACTGGGCCACTTCGGGGCCCGGCTGACTCGCCTTCTCCCAGCACCGCCGGACAGGGACCCAGGCTCTTGTTGATGCTGCGTCTCAGCCCCGGTATTGAGATTCTGGGTCTCCTTTCTCTGTTCCACGGTAGCCGCGTTACCCTAGACTCCTATCTCGCCCTTTCCACTCCCCACAGCTGCTGAGAAAAGCCTTTATTTCTTGGGAGCATGGTTGGCATTTGTAGTTGGGTTGAAAGAATTTTTTTTTTTTAAATGGCATTTATGACTAGAAGAGAAAAGTGGGCTCTGGGCTGGGCTGAAAGGATTTTTGTTTTTTAATGACATTTGTGACTAGAAAAGTGGACTCTGGGCTCGATGAAGTTAATTTTTTCGTTTGACAATCATTCTTGCCATTCTTATGTAAAAGTGTCGGTATGAAGTCGGTTTATTGGAGCAAAAACCTTTTCCCTCACGTCCCTGAAACTTTCCAGATGTCTTATCACAGTTCATTATTCACTCATTTGTATATACATCAAAAATTGTTTTTGAGTGGCAGTGTGCAAAGGCGCTGATTGCTATGGGTTAAAGTCTTCGTTATATACTTAGCTAACTTAGAAATCACTTTTTGTAGGTGTGCAGTGAAGACAAACCATAAAGCTGTAAAGGAATGTAAAAGAGCAAGAGTTAAATAATAAGAATCAGAGGAGAACCTAAAGATAAATGATGGTGTGGGTCACAGAATTTAGCCAGGAGTTTGTTTTTTGCGTTACATCACAGAGAAGAGGAAACCTGTTTTGTTGTTATGTTTAACACTTTGAGGCAAGACAGCGTTTTTTCTAGCTATGACTTTTATAAGAAATGTGCCACATGGTACTAGAGCCTCCGTTGAGAAGATCTTTGAGCTGAGATCTGAAGCAACAAGGGAAATAACTTGGAAGCTCTGGGGGAAGAGTATTCCAGGCAGGACCAAGAGCCAGTGCAGATCCTGAGGTAGGAATGAAGTTGGCCTGTATGTGAAGCAACAAAAAGGCTCTTTTTATTAGAGGACCCGTTTGATTAAAAGATAAGGTTGGACAGGAAACTAGGAGCCAGGTCCTATAAGGCCTTTTAGGGTCCAGGTGTTTTTTGTACCTAAATATGTAGACCTTTAGATACTGGGAGTAAGGCTTCTGGGATCAGTTTGGGGATAATGTTACAGAAAGCACTGATAATTTTTCTCCATAATTCCTTGTATTAGCTAGATAGCTATTACTTTTAATTTACATTTGTTATTGTCCTGTTAGACCTAGTGCTTCGTTTGGAAATCCGCTTTATATAAAAGTTGCTTTTAAACAATATTAACATAATGAATTTTATTGTCACTTTCCATCTTACTGTACTTTTAAAAATGTTTATGGAGGCATATATGATATCTGTAAATAACACAAATTTTAAATCTATAGTTTGATGAATTTTCACATATTAAGTTTACACCACCAGATTAAGATACAGAGTATCTCCATAATGCTCCTTCGTGCTCCTTCTGAGCCAGTAATTCTTCTTACTGTCCTGACTCCTGTTTTGACCTCCATCACCATCAATTAGTTTTGCTTGTTCTTTACTCATAAACAGAATCATACAGTAGGTGCTTTGTTGAATGTAGGCACTCTGTTTTTGCTTTAATCATTACGTGAGTATACATTCATATTGTGTGAAGCAGTAGTTCTTTTGCGTTGCTGTGTAATATTCCATTGTATAAATATATGTTGTATAGCTGTAAGTACAGCGCAGTTTATTCTAACAGTGGACATCTGGGTTTCTAGTTATTAGCTAGCATAAATAAAGCTTCTGTGAATACTCTTGTACGTGTATTTTGGTGAACACATGCATTTCTTTTGGTTGTATGTACCTAGGAGAAGAATTGCCTAGGATAATCATGTGACTAGTATTAGTACCTTGGTTTTTAATGTGTGGCTCTTGGACCAGCAGTAGTAGTATCACCTGGCAATTAATTAGAAGTGCAGCCGGGCGCGGTGGCTCACACCTGTAATCCCAGCATTCTGGGAGGCCGAGGCAGGCGGATCACGAGGTCAGGAGTTTGAGACCAGCCTAGCCAACATGGTGAAACCCTGTCTCCATTAAAAATACAAAAAATTAGCCGGGCGTGGTGGTGGGCAGCCATAATTAGCTGCCCGCGAGGCTGAGGCAGGAGAATCGCTTGAACCCTGGAGGCAGAGGTAGCAGTGAGCTGAGATCGTGCCATTGCACTCCAGTCCAGGTGACAGTGAGGTCCGGCCATCAAAGGCATTAAATCCCAGCACAGGGTTTTCAGTTTTACATGATCGTGGAGATGTGTCAAGAATTTGGAGAAAGGAAAATGAAATTTTCTGAATTACAAAACCTACTTTAAAAGCAGAATAGATCGTTAATTGGAGGAGGAACAAGGGATAGTGGATAGCAGGAAGATGGTGGTGCTGACCGGATCGAAGAATAATATCTGCGTGTAGGGTAGTGATTGAGAGCATGAAGGGGAGTTGTTTTATGTAAAATGCACTGGACTTGGTAACAATTGGAATATAAGGGATGTCTCCTGAGATTCTGGCTGGGGGAATGTAGTAGGAACTGGTGCTATTCATTTAGATAGCATTTAGGATGATAGCACTTAGAAGATTGCATTCAGCATTGGGGAATAGGTTTGAGGAGAGAAAGTAGTTTTAGATTGTGAATATTTGTACATGAGTTGCCCCTGGGACATTTCAGGTAGTCTAGAGAAAACTATGTGCTGCTGTTGCTCAGGGGCACTGTCTAGGCTCAAAATAGACTTGAGTCATCAGCATGCATCAACACATATGTGAAGCCCCCCAATAGTTAAGGAATCAAAGAATGTTTGTAGAGGGGAAGAAGCCTTAAGTACTGAGCCCAAGGAGAACATTAGTTTTTAAGAGGCAACAGAATGGTAAGCCGAAAGGCCTGGTTATTATTGTCAAGGGCCACAGAGAGATCAAGTCAGATAGGAATCAGTTGGATTTGATAAGGGGTTATTAGTGACTTTGAGAAGATTAAGACTAGAGAGGCAAATATTTTTGTATTCTGTGGCAAAGAAGATGAGGTCAAAGTAGAGACCAGGGAAAGGTCTGAAAAAAAATCTGCAAGGAGAAAAATCACTACTTTTCATTGAATGGTTACTAGATGCCACATACAGATCTAGGCAAGCCCAGCACCCTGCAGTCATCTTCAATTTATCTTATCTCACATGTTCACCCATTAGCAAGTCTCGCTGCTTCTAATATGTTCTAACTTACCATTTTTCTCTTCGTCACCTCTGTGGCTAACATCCTTTTCTAACCTAGACTTTAGTAGTTTCCTAAGAAGTCTCCGTTTCCAGTCCTGATTTGATAATGTATTCACCAGACTGCAGCCAGAATGACATTTAAAAAAATAGTAAATTGGACCATGCTCTTACAGTGAACTTTCCATGGCTTTCCATCACACCTAAGGTCCAGATTCCTTATACAGTCTGCAGCCTACAAAGTGAGGCCCTTGAAGTAGCAGGTTACAGCTTCTTTGCTTTCTTGGTTTGAGCCACACTTTCTGTTGATTGATTGTAACCCCATGTAATTTGAGGAGCATCTGTACATGTTGCTTTGTGAGAGTCACACTACTAGGTTAAAGCAAAGTCAATGATACATGTGGCTCTTGAAATAATTTTACCATTAAAGAAAACTACCAAATCCCTAGAGTTTGTAGTCAGTTGGCAGAAAATAAAAGTGTTCCTGCACTTGTCCTTGATCTCCCAAGTTGTGTAATCTTTTGCATCATTGTTTTTCCAGCTACCACACCTATATGTTGTGACTGCACGGTTGAAAAAGTTTCAGTCTTTAATGTTAACTCTTGATAGTTGACATAGCCATCTATTAGATTGTGTCTGGGCTTTGAACAGAATATTTAGTTGGGTTTTATTAGAATTGTGTGCTATTGATAGAGGCTAGGAGAGGGCCAGGTAAGCTTGATTGTGTATGTATTGATTGTCTTAACCTCCCTGAGTGCTAGATTTAACTTCTAGTCTTTTTTTATTGCACAGCTTCACATTTTCTAGGAATCTCAAATTCTATGTGGTGTTTGAATCTTCTTCATATTAGGAGGAGGAAATCTGTAATGGTCAATGTATAACAATTAAACTCTTAAGAATATATGAGGTGATAATAATGATCATTTATTGAGTTCTGTCGACCAGGAACTAAATACTTTATGGTACACAGATACTACATTAGATTGTGTACTTTTGGGAGGAGGGGCAAGAGAAGTGGGGGAGATACTGATCCTTTTATAAGGAAAAACTCCAAGGTTATATCCCTGTTAGCTTTCCTCCAAATAGCTTCTGACAGTAAGTTACTTGATTAAAAATTATGTTTTAATTAGAATTTGATGGCTTTTTACAAACTTTTACTGACACTCAACATGTTTGTTTTTGTAGGAGCTGACTAAGGCTTTGGAAGAGAAACCAGATGATGCACAGTATTATTGTCAAAGAGCTTATTGTCACATTCTTCTTGGGAATTACTGTGGTAACTTTTCTTATAAAGTATATTGCCCTTTTTAATAAGTTACTTACACATTTTACCCATGACAAATTAAAGGTTGTCTTTGAGAATTTTTAAATTGGTGTTTGATACAAGGTAAAGTAGCTCAAATGTGACAGACACGTTGAGCAACACCCATTTAAATTTTATGGATGTCGCTTTTTCCTTCATTGGGTGGAGAATGTATACAGATTTCATTCATAGTTATTGGGTATGCTGATAAAAAATAGCATCACATTTACTATTTGACAGAGTATTAAAATGAAATGCTTGTTTGTATTTTTTTATAAAAAAGAATGACCAGGCATGGTGGCTCACGCCTGTAATCCCAACACTTTGGGAGGCCAAAGCAGGAGGATCACTTGAGCCCAGGAGTTCAGGACCAGCCTGGGCAACATAACAAGACCACCTATATTTAAAAAGTAATATATTTCTGTGTTTTGTAACTTTAAAAAATTATTCTGATCAAGAATCTGCATAGGGTAAAACCGAATACCTTGAGTAAAATGACGTAGACGATGTTAATGAGACAAGGAGGTGAATTTTGTGACACAGCTGTATTCATTGACTGAAGAGCTTTAAGAAGGAAGCTAAATGTTAAGCCAAAAGGAAGATACAAGAGTAATAATTTATTTGAATTCTATCTTGTATTAGCTTTTCCTAATTTAAAACCATTTGGCATCTCTACCAACTTGAAAACTTAGAAATCTAAAACTGATTTATATGTTATATATATTTGCTAGGATCTGTAAATAACTGACTAAAAACCCATCTTTTTCTACATAGTTGCTGTTGCTGATGCAAAGAAGTCTCTCAAACTCAATCCAAATAATTCCACTGCTATGTTGAGAAAAGGGTATGCAATAGCTATTCTTCTTGTTGAGCTTAGTATAGATAGTAGGTGTTTAATTTGTTGAATGAGTTCATTGCAAGCTTTATATAAGTTGTAAAATTCTGTATTTATACGTTATATAGCAGAGATATGATTCAATTTTAAATACAACTTATGGTTCTATTATTTTGTTAACCATAATACATAATATGAGATCTATACTTAATAAATTTTAAAAGTGATGATTGAAGTAATTGAAAGATATAGATGAAGCTGATAGATTTCACATTCCTTTTTTTTTTTTTTTTTTAATCATTTGGAATTTACTATATTTAATTGACTGGACAGCATCCTATTCTGCCAAGCCAAATAGGTGACATTTAATGCTGTGAAAGCTCTATATCTGTGTGCTTTATGTCCCATCTTGTTTCTGTTGATAAGTATAACTATTCTTTAAGAAACTTCTTTAATTCCTTTGTATAATTATATTTTGGAGTAAGCAAGTTTGTATAATTAAAGTCAGATTCTTTCTGAAGTGAGTTCCAAAACTGAATTTTACTAGGAATTGTACTAGATGTTAAGAGTATATTAGAAAGTCTCTTGGTTTATTAACATATATTTAAAATAAATTTTTTATTTCAACAGTAGAAAATACTAAGTTTCTTTATTTAGAAAGAAGGCTATTTTCCAGATTTTTTGTGTGTCTTAATTTGTTTTAAATACATTCATGCAGAATATGTGAATACCATGAAAAAAACTATGCTGCTGCCCTAGAAACTTTTACAGAAGGACAAAAGTTAGATAGTAAGTATTAAAAATTATACTTTAATAAACTTATCTATTTCTGTCTTAAATACCAAAGCTGAATTTTGGTAATGTTAATTTCAGGTTAATTGTAGAAACCCAATACCTGTTTTTCTCATCTTAATTACATTTCATATTGATTGCAGATATGAGATCACTTAAAACTGATTAAATTAGCCTTTTGGCATTTAAATCACAGATGAACTTTACCATTAGAAGTAAAAAACTCTATGGAAACACTTATGCTGTCTCTACTTAGTCTGGCTTTTTTTTTCCTAATGGAGAAGTGAAAGTTTAATTTGCCTTCTTGGTCAGAAGTCTGTTCATTTTACGTTATTCAGATTGCTGAGATGTGAAATCTTAACATTAAAGGTTTTTATGGAGAAGTGAAGTGTATATTTGAATAAATTATGAGAGGGTACAGAAGAAACACAGTTTTGAGAGTATTGTGACTTTTAATGTTACATTTTTGAGGGAAATGTATGAAAAGTATCACAGTGGTAGGGATATCTGGACATACAGAAATTGTGAGAGCCAAGAATTTTTAAATCTGAAAAATACTAAGAGATTGTGAGTAATCTCAGAAAATTGGTAACTACATAATCCTACTTGTACTATCATTTTATGTTTATGTTATGATAGAGTTTTATCACATTTCTCTTAAAGAAGGGGTTCTTAACTGGAAACAATTTTGTTTCCTGGGAAACTCTGCAGTGTCTGAAGAGATTTTTGATGATCATGAATGGTGGAGGGGGGATGTACTACTGACATCTAATGAGTGTAAACCAGGGGTGCTACTAAATATCCTATAATGCCCAGGACAGTTCTACCTAACAAAGAAGTATCTGGTCCAAAATGTCGGTAGTGCTGAAAATAAGAAACTTCACTCTTAGTATTTTATGTTACATTCTTACTCTACTGTTTTGAATGTTTGCTTTTCTGTTGTGTACCTATTCAGAAAAAAGGATTTTAGCACTGATTATGCAAATGGAAGCTACAGATTAAAAAAGGAGAGGTCTGGGTGGTAAGGCTTATTCTCAAACTTGCTTATCCCAGTTTTGGTACGTGAATAATTAGGGCTATTCAGTCAGCAAACAGGGCATCTGCACTCTTAGGAAATTCTAGAGTCAAGTTATGTAGTGCTTTGATACTTAGCAAATTCTAGAGTCAAATTATGTAGTGCCTTGATACATATGTGAAAATCCTGAAGAAACATGAGTCATACCATTCTCTACATTTTCATTTTTCTTTCTTGTTTTAGCGAGCGAGGGTCTCGTTCTGTCGCCCAGGCTGGAGTGCAATGATGCGATCTCGGGTCATTGCAGCCTCCACCTCCTGGGCTCAAGTGATTCTCCCACCTCAGCCTCCTGAGTAAGTGGGGCTACAGGCACATGCCACCACACCTTGACTTATTTTTGCATTTTATTTTTTTCAGAGATGGGGTTTCGCCACGTTGCCCAGGCTGGTCTTGAACTCCTGGACTCAAGTGTTCTGCCTGCCTTGGCCTCCGAAAGTGCTGGGATTACAGGCACCAGCCACTGTGTCTGGCCCCTGAATTCTTTTCTTGAGTAAGATCTTAATATCATGCCATTGACATTTATTTTTTAGTTATTTCAGAGGTGGCCTTCAGAAGAGGACCTGTTGGTAAAATTGCTATTGAGGATATTTCACTTAAAAATAAATTTGTCTTTAAGTCCAGAAGACTTTTTTTGTTTTTTGGGGTTTTTTTTTTTGTTTGTTTGTTTGTTTTTTGTTTCTTTTTTTGGAACGCAGTCTCACTGTGTCATCCAGGCCATAGTGTAGTGGTGCGATCTTGGCTCACTGCAACCTCTGCCTCCAGAGTTCAGGTGATTTTCCTGCCTCAGCCTCCTGAGCAGCTGGGACTACAGGCATGCACCACCATGCCTGGCTAATTTTTGTATTTTTAGTAGAGACGGGGTTTCGTCGTGTTGGCCAAGCTGGTCTCAAACTCCTGACCTCAAGTGATCCACCTGCATTGACCTCCCAAAGTGCTGGGGTTACAGCTATGAGCCACCATGCCCGGCCAAAATCTGGGAAAAAGTTAAGTTAAGCTTTTAGGCTTCTCTTTTTATCAGACAGGGTAAAGAATTTTTACCTTTTCCCCTCTTTGTGTGATAGATTGGTTGGTTTTAGTTACTGATTATTTAAAATAATAGGTTACTCAAATCTAAGATTTTGATATAATAGTTCTCTGGAATACAGTGTGTGTGAGAGAGTGTATTTAGAATTTTTATTAAGGCTGGTATAGTTGAATTTCTTTTATATATTAGTAAAGTAGAAATTTTTGTTAAGAAATTTCTAACTTAAAATTTTCAAATTAATCTTCCCTGAAGTTAACTTGAGTTAATAAGCTTTTCTCTAGAGTACTTTTAATATTTTTAACATATCTTACTATGTACAGTGACTGTTTAAATGTAATCATTGTTCTGTGTCTCCAGAAATGAATAATTTGTTTATGCATTCATTTACACTGTTATCTGTAAATATATAATACATCACCGATAGCCCCTCGACTGCCGTGTAACTTGGAGATATGACAAACTTCACAGAATTTAAGGATACTTAGTGTTGGTAGGAAGGGCATGGTAACAGATAAAGCCACTGAGAGAATAGTAGACTGAATAGGTAGCTGCATTGAAGAGCAAGCTGGGGCTGGGAAGGGCTTTTGGACCTCAACTCAGCTCCCAGTTACCAAGCCTCCTCCCCACCCTAACTGATGACATATTGAGAGTTTGATTTACATCTGATTTTGTTGTGTGTATGAGGAAACTTCTCTAAGAGCAGCGAGATTGGGGGAAATGTAGATTATTTTTATCTGTGAAATTAATAAGGTTGACTGTAGTTAAAATTTTTTAAAAATCAAAATGTTTCATGATGAACAACTAAATGTTAAACTATTGGTATATTGATAACTATAGAAGGGTTGGCAATAAGGTCTGTTAAGACAGATTTTGTTCACTGCTGACTCCCCAGTGCCTAGAACAGTGCCTGGGATGTAGTAGGTATTCAGTAAGTATTTGTTGATTAATAGGTTGTGCAGATGAGTGATGTTATAGTCAGTTTTTTCTTTCTAGGTGCAGATGCTGATTTCAGTGTCTGGATTAAAAGGTGTCAAGAAGCTCAGAATGGTATGTGGGTCTCCCTTGGTATTTAGTTTAAAAAGAAATAAACATCTGAATTTTTTTCGGTTTAAACAAATTTGTTTTTACCTTTATAATTTCTTTTAAATAGTATATGTTTCCTTAGATGTGGACTTCCAAAGACACACTGGTTTTTGCATAGCTTCTTATGTTGAATGGGAGATTAGGGTGGATTTGTTTGTGTGGTGTATCAGTAAGAAATTACAAGGAGTCTAAGATGAATTCAGAATGCAAAATGAAACCACTTTCTTTTGGTTAGTTTTCTTTAGTTGAAAAGTATGTAGAATTTGCTTGCTTAATCAGTATGTTTGTGCTATAGGAATCATATAAATAACTTTGCTTATAAATGCACTGTTACCTGAAAATGTTTCCTTTTTATGTTTTAATAGGCTCAGAATCTGAGGTGGTAAGTCCACAGTTTTCATTCTTCATGTTTTTATTATTTTAAATTTCAAATACCACATATATTTGAGACAAGACTCAGGATGAGCTGTCTGATAATTAAATATTGAGTAATTTCGTTTAAGTGCTGGTTCCTCTAGGAACTGAAATAAAATCATTTTTTGATGAATATAGAAGTTTCCAGTCATGAAAATTATTGGCCTATTTTAATGAATTTAGTGTATGGTTAAAGTGGATTTCGTGTGTTTTAGTATGGTCAGGATGATTATTTATCTTTTTGTTGCTAAAAGCTTATTGCATTTATTTAGGTTAAACGGTTTGAATCACTTGAAGGGCTTTTTGTGATAGTTTAAGACAAAAGTTAAAGAAAATTGGAAATTGACAGGATCTTGCCCTGTCATGCTGGCTGGAGTGCAGTGGTGCCATCATCGTGCACTTGAGCTTCAAACTCCTGGGCTCAAGCAGTCTTCCCACCTCAGCCTCCCAAGTAGCTGGGACTACAGGTGTACACCACCAAACCTGGCTAATATACTCTGTTTCTTTAAAACAATGTTGTTTTAGTTTAGGGAGTTGCTCAATCTTAGAACTGGCCATTTTATATAAGCAACCTTTTCTAATCATGCCTTTAGAAGTTTTCTGTTATTTAAAGCTCTGTTGTTTTAGAGGAAAAATCTTTTATGAAATTGAAACTAAGATATTTTTAAGTGCTGAACATTCTAATTTTTTTTTGAAAACTAGTTGTATTTAACAATTACAATTACCATACTTTGAATAAAATTTTCATGTAGTTATTTTGTATCAAAATAACTGCAGTGTTGGATAAATTAATAATATGTGCATTTTAATATACAGTTGCTAAACTGACTTGTAAAAATCTTTCTCTTTCAACTTGCCGAAATCAATCTGCATCCCAGTGGACTCACCAGTCAAAAATCAAGTAAGTGTTTCTTTTTCATAAAACAATGCATGATAGATATTCCTAAAGAAGAAGAAACCCTGTAGTTTAATAGTAAGTAAATTCTTACCAAGTGATTTTTAAGTTTTTGTTTTCTAAGATTGTGGTAATAGCTTTATGTAAAGCTAATTTTAAGGCTGTTTAAGAATTAATATTTATACTTAAGTTAAATTCAAATCATTTCTCATCTTTAAAGTTGCTTCACTTGATTTCATACTATGTTACCTTTGCATATGTTAAGGAGCGTCTCTTCCAGTTAAGTTTATGGTACTACACAGATAAACAAGTTAGTAGTAGACCTAACAGAATTGTAACTTACCCTGCCTTTTGTATTTGGAGCAAATTTTTCATAGGAACATTCTCTATGAGTTGAAAGTTAATTGCTGAGGGCAGCAGTTATAATAATGAATAAGCAACTAGCAAGTTTCTGACTTTTAATTATTCATTAGCCTGTGTACAGCTTGTATTCTTAGGACTGTAACAGAAACACAAGCCATTGCTCTGTAGCTTTGCATCCTTACTGAATTGCAAAGGGAAACTGAGACTCTTAAAGTTAATTTCTTTAATCAAGTTGGTTTTGGATATAATTACCTAAAATGGCCTGGAAATGTTAAAAACAATCTATTCATGGTGATTGTGGGGAGATACAGGATAAAACTCCAAGTACCTAGTAGATAAGGAACTTTGACTTGCCCTGGCGGCAGCAGCAGGGGTAGGGCACATAACTATGAAATAATAAGATGTTCAGAGCATAAAATAATCCAACATCTGACTTAATTTACGTGTACCAGACACTGTGCTTTGTCCTAGGAATATAATAGTGACAGGATAAACAGTTTTGCCCTCAGGGAGTTTTTAATCTAGTCTAATTTGAAAGTGAGAATTCCCTGTTTTTGTACTGAAACTCTGTTTTTAGAGTTTCAAACTCTTCACATTTTGAGTATCACTCAAAAGATGTAGATAGTAGTGTAATTTAGTAGGAAAAAACTCTTAGAGTTTCAGTACAAAAGGTGCACATAATTAGAATCTAGACCCATTAGTCTTCCCATGTATCTTGAAATTGAAGGAAAGTGTTGTATATGGTGTTGTGCCTGACATAGTTAAACTTTATATGATTTTAATTTTAGCTCATTTGCCCCTGTTTCCTGTGCTCAAGTCTATCAGCTTCCAACTTTAGTTATGAGAGCTTGGAGTGTTGACTCAGGCTTATTGCTTCACATTTCTGAGTTTAAGTTTTATCATCTGTAAAATAGGGATTTAAGTGATTATCTTTAGTATTTGGATGACATGAGTGTAAAAACTCTGTTAATGACATGTAAATATTAGCTGTTTAAAATAAATGGCATCTTTAATATTTATATTAGTTTAAGCACAATAGTGTTGGAGATGAGTCAGAACCCAGAAAATCATGCAAGTATTTAAGTCTGCTGGAAAGGTGTGAGCATCATCTACCTTACCATTTTTTTCCTTTAGTACAGAGCATAAAAAACTAGTTAAGTAAAGTTGTTTCTGTGAATCAATAGCTGCTTTGCTGTTTTCTTCCTCCAGGTGGAGCTCTTGTTGTTTATCAGACTAGTTTTTGTTTTGACAATAGCTTTAAGAAAATTAGAAGTGTTATTTAAGTTTCTTTTTTTTTTTAATAGGTATGACTGGTATCAAACCGAATCTCAAGTAGTTATTACACTTATGATCAAGAATGTTCAGAAGAATGATGTAAATGTGGAATTTTCAGAAAAAGAGGTCAGTAGACTTTGAATCATTTTTCAGTGTTAATTACTATTATTTGTAAATTTAGTATATTGCAGAATAATCTATAACACTTTATCAGATAAATGTCATTTCTTCCTGAGATGATGTGGAAAACGCTGAGTAAAATCTGAAGCCATTGCTTTGAGATAAGAATATCTATGTTGGTAAGTTATAGCTGGATGTGCTTTTTTTTCCTTCAGATTTGAAATTTAGAGCAGAATTTCGTTACATTAGTAAGATAATGTGATTTGTTTATACTTATGTGGTGTACTTCATGAAAAAGATCTAGTTTTGTGATCACACATGTCTTAGAATTGACTAACCATGTTAAATGAGTGTGACTTTTTTTTTTGTTTTTTGAGACAGAGTGTCCCTCTTGCCCAGGCTGGAGTGCAGTGTCGCGATTTAGACTCACTGCCACCTCCTCCTCCTGGGTTCAAGCAATTCTTCTGCCTCAGCCTCCTGAGTAGTTGGGACTACAGGCCCATCCCACTGTGCCTGGCGAATTTTTGTAGCAATGGAGTTTCGCCATGTTGGCCAGGCTGTTGTTGAACTCCTAACCTCAAGTGATCCACCCACCTCGGCCTCCCAAAGTGCTGGGATTAGAGGCATGAATCACTGTGCCCAGCCTCTTGAGTATGACTTTTAACAACTTGATTTCTTAGCATTTAGTAGAGAACCTTTTAATAGATAATTTAGAAGAGATAGTGATAGAGCTGTATGTTTTGCACATGAATTACTTTTTGTTATATATCATTTTGCTTTTGTATGTTTTCTTGAGATTTAAATGTCAAATAGGTGTGATTATATGACAAATATTACGAAACTTACTCTTTTCTGCTGTTTAATGATATATATAAGAATTCATGTCAAGGATAACAGATGGAAAAAAAAGGTTCTTAAATCTTTCAGAACCTTTTGAGGTTCTTAAATCTAAAATCCCATATGTAATGTTTAAAATTTGTAACATTGAAGATTTATAATTATTTTGTGTAGGTTTTTTACCCTCCATTATATACATTTGCAAAATGTGATGGTAATTTTGTGTTCATTAGTTGTCTGCTTTGGTTAAACTTCCTTCTGGAGAGGATTACAATTTGAAACTGGAACTTCTTCATCCTATAATACCAGAACAGAGCACGTTTAAAGTACTTTCAACAAAGGTAAGACAATTGAAAAGGTTTGTTGCTAGTAATATTTTCAGAATTATAGAAATACTGGTGAACTGATCACCGATGTGTTTATGAGCTTGTAGATTCTTTCAGCCATTTATATTTACGAGGGACAGGGAAAAGAAGAATGATAACTTTTGAGTGTAAGGGTTATTTTACCTCTCAAATTCTAGTACAGTAAAGTATAAAAATCCACTTAGCTTGTGTGGTGTTTGTGCACTTATTAAAACAGATACAATGTTTTTCAATAAAGAGATTTTTTTAAAAGATACAATAATGAGCCTGTCTTTTAAGATTGGATACTGACAGTGTCTCTTCTCTTGAACTTGTCAGTTTTGTTTGTTTTGATGTACAAATACTTTTCTCACCCTACCTCATGCAGTTAAAAATACAAACTACTATAAAGATGAATCCTCCTTTTTTTTTTTTTTTTTTTTTTTTTTTTGAGATAGTGTCTTGTTCTGTCGCCCAGGCTGAAGTGCAGTGGCACTGTCTTGGCTCACTGCAACCTCTGCCTCCTGGATTCAAGCAGTTCTCCTGCTTTAGCCTCCCAAGTAGCTGGGACTACAGGCATGTGCCACCACACCCTGCTAAATTTTTGTATTTTTAGTAGAGATGGGGTTTCACCATGTTGGCCAGGCTGGTCTCCAGGTCCTGACCTTGTCCTTTTTTTTTTTTTTTTTTAATTAAAATGAATTTTAGGTTACTTTGTAATGAGGGAACAATGAATAAATTATAGTTTGAGTAGTTTTTAGATTCCTTTATCGTTTCTAAAAGAAGTAGAGATATACAATAGAAGTAATGTTCAGAGAGTATCACTCAAAAGATGTAGATAGTAGTGTAATTTAGTAGGAAAAATACTGAACTGAAAATTTAAAAATCTGACTCTGGATCTTTGCTTGCCCTGTGAATTTAGTCTAGGCACAAAATGACTATAAGACTGAATTTTCAGCACCTTTGAAAGGAGGGCTGTGGACCAAATGAACTCTGGAGTCCTTTCAGCTGTAGAATTGTGTGAAGGTATATGATAAATGAGTTAATGGGAATAAATAATATAGGTAGGCTTTTTCCATTACTTTTTTTTTTTTTGAGATGGAGTCTAGCTGTGTCACCAGGCTGGAGTACAGTGGTGTGATCTCGGCTCACTGCAACCTCCGCCTCCTTGAATCGGGTTCAAGTGATTCTCCTGCCTCAGCCTCCTAAGTAGCTGGGATTATAGTCACGTACTGCCACACTCAGCTAATTTTTGTATTTTTAGTAGAGACGGGATTTCACTATGTTGGCCAGGATGGTCTTGATCTCCTGACCTCGTGATCCGCCCACCTTGGCCTCCCGAACTGCTGGGATTACAGATGTGAGCCACCGCACCTGGCCTACTACTTTTTTATGCACAAGTCCTGCAGCATACTGTGCTACTATTTATTAGGTTGAAGCTCTAAGGACATGTGAAGCTTCCTGTTGTGGAACAGGATCGGAGTTGGCCTGTGTCGTGAAGAATGATAGTTGGGCTTGCAGAAAGGAGACAGCTGCAGAGTGTTGGAGAAGGAAGTGCAAAGTGAAGTAGTTTTTGCATCTAGTTAAAAAGGATCTGCCTATTTATTTGAAGATTGTCAAGAACAAAGCTGGTTAATTATGAGGCAGATTTTTGAAATAGCTGTATGGGACAGTAGAAATTGAGGAAAGGGACGAAATCTTACCAGGATTTTGGTCTGTCACTGGTCCTATCCACATAGTATAGAATTTGTTTAATAAAAGAATTATTTTGAGTAATCAAGCACAAAATAGGTAGATTTGAGAGGGATATAATTCAGAAAATTATGAATTTGACTTTTTTTGATATGTCTATCGAGATTGCTAATGCAAGTGAGCCGAAATCACGCCACTGAACTCCAGCCTGGGCAACAGTGAGAGAGACTCTGTCTCAAAAAAAAAAAAAAAAAAGAGTTAATGCATGTCCATTTGGAGTTATTTAAATCGAGTGTGAATAAATGACAAATGACTTAAGAACTTATATTACTGAGGCACCTCCTATGGTGGAAGAATATCATGTGTGGTAAATACACAGATGTGTGGCAAGAGTCGAGGATAATTAAGCATTCTTACCTCTTTTTTCTCTTTTGAGTCTTGGATTTGTTAATTTTAACCATTCTTCAACCATACTACTATGTTCTCAGTTTGCCTCTTCTCCCCTTTCCTCTTTAAATACTAAGTGACTGCTTTTCCTTGTATAGTAGTTTATGTATACATTTCATGTCCCTCATTTCTATGCAAGTCCTTGAGGATAAGAAGCATGTTTTATTTGTATCTTTGTATGTGCCCCAGTTAGGATCCCCAGATAAAGTACAACATGCTCACTTAAGTTTGTATTTCAGATAAACAATGAATATTTTATGTAAATATGTTTCATGCTATATTTTTATTTGTCAAACTTGGCAGCCCTCACCACGTACATTGTACAGTGGGTGCTTAGTTCAGTGAATGAATTAAAATTGGATTTTGGTTTTAGTCCCATGACATTGGGAGAGTATTTTTATTCTTAGTTTTGCAGGTGGAAAAAAAATCTGAGGTTAATGGACTTTAAATACTTTCCCCAAGTTTACCTGGTTAAGTAAATTGTCTGGCCTGACCCAGGAGACATAGATACACTTCTGATTGCCAACCAAACTAGTGCATCTTTGCTTAGGTTTTTCTAAGTTTTGAATTGGAGAACTTAGATTCTAAGGATATGTTCTAAAGAATTATTATTTTTCTTGTCCTGACCCTGGAATCTCCATATTTTATATATCATATATGTGTGTGTGTGTGTGTGTGTACACAAATAATCTTGTTAGATTACTCTTAAGCTATTTGGGGGGAAGGAAATTGAAAGAAGTTTTCTTAATTATGTCTTGGGGAAATAATTGATAAAATCTTTGAATTTCCTTTTTCATACAGTAGAGGAAGATATTAAAATACTGAAAGTAAAATCTCTGGGTTACTGAGGCTTACTTCGTGGACACTTAAGAGACAGCAGTACTAAAATAATTTGCTTTTCATGTATTCAGATATCTTGATTGTTCTAATGTCTTGGACCTTTGTGAATTGAGAAAGGATGCATTTTGCAGAGGAGAATCTGCTTAATAGTAGAGATTCTGTAAAATTTGCAGCTTCAAAGGGCAATTTCTTTGCTTTTGGGAATTCTCTTTTCTTTCCCACCTTCAAGATTGAATGTTGCATATCCATGTATAACCAGTGGTGGTTAAATATTACTAATTTGAGTGATACGTAATTAGTGATGAAAGTAGTAAGAGGTAAAACCCTGAAATTAATGAAATAGCATTTCTCAACTATTTTACAATGTAGTATCCAATATGTTTTTCCAAGCCAGGATTCATATTTTTTCAGTATCTCTGATAGTTATTGCTACTTTTTACTGAATATCAGCTTTAATGTCAGCCTATTAATTTTTTTAGAAATTAAGGAACTATATGTCTTTCATTTCATCTTGTTGATTTCATGACAATATTCTCTGGTCACAATCTTAGAATTGTGACTTTAGTGGCACCCATATTGTGAAACATGCATTTTAAAAATTAATTTTCCTTCCCTTTAAGATTTAGGATTTGCAAGTTGGGCAAGGTGGATCATGCCTGTGATACCAACACTTTGGTAGGCCAAGGCGAGTGGATCAGTTGAGGTCAGGAGTTCGAGAACAGCCTGGTGAACATGGTGAAACCCTGTCTCTACTAAAAATACAAAAAATGAGCTGGGCATGGTGGCAGATGCCTGTAGTCCCAACTACTCGGGAGACAGAGGCAGGAGAGTCACTTGAGTCTGGGAGATAGAGGTTGCAGTGAGCCGAGATCATGCCGTGCCACTGCCCTCCAGCCTGGGTGACAGAATGAGACTCTGTCTCCAAAAGAAAAGAAAGAATTAGAATTCTCAGTCTTTTGGGGTGAATTTGTCCTTGTGAAAATGTTCTTGTGTTCTTATTTTTAGTCACAGTAATGTATACAATATAAAATATGAAGGCCTGGAATTGTGAGAAATAAAAATGTATATCTTAGAAACAAAATAGCCTCCTTTTTCTTCTCCCACTAAAATTTGAGAAGTTTTAGAGTGAATCCTATTTCTTAATGTTCATAGAAGAATGTATGTATGTTAAAGAAAAGTCCTGGTAATAATGTAATGGAATGGGGTATTTGGGTGTGATGCTTCCGCTGGTCTGAATATATAAATATGGGAGTTTTAAAAATTATTGTTTTGTTTTGCTTTTTTAATACAGTGGTGGTGATAATAGTGAGATTTGATTTTTTTTTTTAACTGAATTAGTTTAAAAAGATCACCAATTGTAGATCTTGGAATGTATTCTTTTCGTATATTTTGTAATGTATATTCATACATTTTTAAAAGAAGAATTTACTCTGCATAATTTTCAAACAGCTACACTTTGTTGATATTTTTATCACATCCTTACATATTCAACAGCAAAGCATTTCGGCATATGCATATACTGTAGCTTATTTAGTCAGTCCCATTTTGTTTGACCTGTGGAGAATTAGAATAGGTGTTTTGACTGTTTTATCACGTCAGGCACTGTATTGTGTATTATCTCATGTAGTTCTCATAGTTACTGCATGGTGTAGGTATTTTTATTCCCAGTTTACAGGTAGAGAAACTTAACCCAGAGATGTTCAATAATTTGCCCAGGTTTTTTAACCGATTATACTGATCAGGATATTGATAACATCATTCTGTTGTTATTTGCCAGACACAGTTCTTTAGTCTTTTCATACATAATGTCATTTAATCTTCTTGAGAACCCTAAATGAGTCAGGGCCTACTGTTCTCAATTTATAGGAGACACTGAGGCTCCCTGAGATTGAGTTGCTTGCTTGTGATCATACATCCAACCAGTGGCACCTATTTGTGACTCTTCTAATTATACAACTGATTGTTTTTGTCTTATTCTCAACCCCTGCTTGTTTCTGAGGAAATAAGTAAAAATCCTAGCTGAAAAAGGCACTTACAGCAAATTATTTCATATCTTGGCTCCTTCATCTCTAAAATATGGATAACAATCTTTTTTTTGTAGGGTGATTCCGTTAAGTAAGATGATATATGTGAAGCATGTAGCACACAGGATATGTAATAAGAGCTCAATAAATGTTACTAGTACCTTTCTTATTGTTTTATTTTAGTTATTTCGATTTTTATTCAGGCTGTAAACTCAGCAAATGCGTATCATAGAAAATCTGGAAAAGATAAAGGAGTTTAGGAAGTAATCACTCAGACTCACCACTCAGATGAAATTCTAGCATGTTACCTTTCAGATAACTCGATATTTCCTGATACATAGGTCAGTCACTACACCTGACACATACTGGAATCTTTTTGTTTATGGGAATGTCTCTCCTGATTGATTAATTTAAGAACAGAGGCTGTGTCCTTATGTACCAGCACTGTTTCTGGCACAGAGTCATTACTCAGCAAATATTTGAAATGAGCTATTAGAAGTTTGCAGAAGATCTTTCAGTCTTCTCCATTCATTGCCATTTTTTTGCATTTAAGAAATGATAATAGAAATATTTTAGTGTAAAATCAAGGTAGATGTATTAGTCTGGGTTCAAAGACTGAGCTATTCTCAGACAAAGGAATTTGAGGTAGCAATTAAACGTGCAAACAGCTCAGTAAGAGTATGTTGGGAAGACTGTATTCTGAAGATTAGAGGAACAATTATTTAATGAGTACAGTCTTGAAGTGTATGGGTCTCAAAAGTTTGCCAATAAATTGGCCCAGCTCTTTAGTCTCTGGGAAAGATTCCTTCATGTCAGTCTGTAGTGGTAGGTGGGATCTGACTTACCACTTAAGATGGTGGTGTCAGGATATCATGACTGCTTAAGCGTAATGACATCTCTTTAAATCTGAAATTTCTTTCACTGGAAAGAATTAAACTGTCTGCTATGCAGAGGAGACTTTAGAAGTGGATGGTAATACATATACTGTTGAGAACTAATGATCCAGCACAGAAAGGATTCTTATGTGTAAACTGTGAATACTCTTTTGGGATATTAGCACCTTGAGAGCCTTCCCTGTACATATGAGAACAACATTCAAGCAAACTACCAAAGTTTTAAGTTACTTTTAAAGTATTTTTGACTTAAATGAAAATAGAATGGTTTGTTAATGGTTGCAATAAAAACCTCTGAAATTGGACTGGTGCTAATTCTAGACCTATGTGCCAGAATCATCAAGACTTAAAACTTCATTTTTAAAAGCATGTACGAGCATTGAAAGAGAATTAAGGGTAAAAAGGATTTCATAGGAAATAGTCCCTCCCTTCTTTTACTTTTTTTTTTGTTGGGGGAGATAGGGTTTCACTCTGTTGACCATGCTGGAGTGCAGTGGAGTGATCATGGCCCACTGTGGCCTCAACCTCTTGGGCTCAAGTGATTCTCCCACTTCAGCCTCCCAAAGTGCCAGGATTACAGGTGTGAGCCAACACACCTGGCCCCTTTTACCTTTTTTAAAAAGCTACTTTAAGTGGTTTATTACATGCAGCTATTTTAATGAATGTATTAAGTGTAATTTCAAGTTGAGGTCAGCTTGTCTCAGCTGAAGCAGGTTGTTACTAAGAGCTTTGCCTTTGGCTTTATAAAGTCCTCTTCATACTGCACAGTTATTCAGGTTATAGTGGTTTTCAGTAGATGCGAATGCTACTCTGTGCTGCTCTTCAGGTGAAACAAGGAACTTTTTATAGACAGTATGTTCATAGTTACAGGAACATGAAGTGTGAATATAGGGTGGCCTGTGGCCAAGTTTAATGTGGTGATGTACACAGTATTTTCCAGACCCTCATTTTTTAGATGAGCTGAAAATTAAAGAAGATGCAATTTTAATTTCAGATAATATTAATAGTTCTTTTCAGTAACTGTTGCTGTGTCATTGCCATCTATTTGATTTGTGTTCCCTCTTAATAAACACCATAGCATTGACAAAGTAACCGGAGTACAGAAAATATTGGTGGTATATTACTTTATAAAAAATTAATTGTAGTTCACTTTAGGGAATTCTAGAAATTCTTATGAAATATGTTTTTATGTATGTAGAGTTTAAACAAGTAAATTACACCAAAGATACTATACTTTTTTTTTTTTTTTTTTGACAGAGTCTTGCTCTGTTGCCCAGGCTGAAGTGCAGCGGCACAATCTTGGCTCTCTGCAGCCTCCACTTCCCAGATTCAAGCAATTCTGTCTCTGCCTCCTGAGTAGCTGGGACTACAGGCATTTGCCACCATGCCTGGCTACTTTTTGTATTTTTGGTAGAGACAGGGTTTTGCCATTTTGGCCAGGCTGGTCTTGAACTCCTGCCCTCAGGTGATCTGCCTGCCTTGGCCTCCTAACGTTCGGGATTACTACTCTTAGCTCTTATCCCAGTGACATTTGTTTCATATTTTTCTCCTATTACGAAAACAGTTGTTTATTACATTTCTTTGCTCCTAAAGAAAATAAAAATAAACACTTGAGACCACATACGCCACATACATATACCATCATTTTATCTCTGATTAAAAATACTGGCAGTTTTCCCTATGTTAGCACTTGTTAAGGTATTTTAAGGTGCAAATTTTGAAGGTCTTTTTGCTGAATGCGTTTGGTATAAATATTACCAGGAATTGCTAGTTTAAATGAGTCATCTGATAAAAGATAGAAGAACCAAAGGGTGAATAGGCTTCTCTTTTTAAGTCTGCCTTTTGATTTTTTAATTCTGCTTACAAAAGTTGTGATCCTTTTCATAGGAACATAACATGAGAATATAAAATTCTAATTCAATTGCTCATTTAAAGTGTTTCATATAATGTTTATTGTAGTCCTTGCTTTAATATTTGTACTAAAAATGCTGATTTTAGCCTGTTAAAATAGAGGTGGGAGCATTATTTGAATAAAGAAAACAAAAGGTAGATAAAATGCTATGTGATTGTGTGTGTTAGGGGTAAAGATAGACTCTGGGGGCTAGCCTTAATTAGAGTAAGAGATACCGTTAGGATACTATTAACTTTTCATTGTATTTTTATTATTATTTTTTTGAGACAGTCTGGCTCTGTCGCCCAGGCTGGAGTGCAGTGACGTGATCTCGGCTCACTGCAAGCTCCGCCTCCTGGGTTCACGCCATTCTCCTGTCTCAGCCTCCTGAGTAGCTGGGATTACAGGCACCTGCCACCACGCCCGGCTAATTTTTTGTACTTTTAGTAGAGATGGGGTTTCACCATGTTAGCCAGGATGGTCTCGATCTCCTGACCTCGTGATCCACCAGCCTCAGCCTCCCAAAGTGCTGGGATTACTGGCGTGAGCCACTGCACCTGGCCAACTTTTCATTTTAATAAGTTAACTTAGTCTTTTCGGTAAATAAGTGAACTTAGTCTTCACAGTGCTCCCCGATGCAGTGTCCTTTCTACCCGTGCTCCAGTTAGGCCATTCCCTGTGCCTCTGCAGACCTACGCCTTCACTCTTGCAAACGCTTCTACCCTTCAAAGCCCTTCAAGGCACATAAAGCCTTTTCTCTTCACAGTCAGGTGTGCTTCTCCTGAGCTTTTAGAACATTTACTTATTTACAACTTTAGTAACTTTCTTAAAGTATCTCACATACTTCGAAATGGTCGAGGATGTGTGTTTAGTATTTTAAAAATCCAGCCGGGCATGGTGGCTTATACCTGTAATCCTAGCACTTTGGGAAGCTGAGGTGGGAGGATGGCTTCAGGCCAGGAGTCTGAGACCAACCTGGGCAATCTAGGGAGACTCTGTCTCTACAAAAAAATTTAAAAACATTAGCCAGGAGTGGTGACAGTTGTCTGTAGTCCCAGCTACTTTGGAAGCTGAGGCTGGAAGATCACTTGAGCCCAGGAGTTCAAGGCTAGAGTGAGCTGTGATCGTCCTACTACACTCCAGTCTAGGAGACAGAGCAAGACCCTGTCTCTAAAAATAAAACAAAAATCTCCCACAGCCTTGAAGACTATACTGTCTCATAGCAGGTGCTTAGTAATTATTTGTTGAATGAATGATTGCCAGAATGTTAGCGTTAGTTGTATTATGTTTATACAGTGAAATAAGTTTCTCCACCGTAAAACAGGTTAATGCACATGTAAATACAGTAATTCTTTTAGAATCAGATTTCTCTGTAGTGGCATTATTGACGTTTTGGGGGATTGCCTGGTACATAGTAGGATGTTTAGTAGCAACCGTGGTCTCTACTCACTAGATGTCACTACCACCTCTTCCCTCACTCCAGTATGACAACCCACAGTGTCTCCAGACATAGCTAAATGTCCGCTGGGTGGCAGAATCATCCCTGGCTCAGATTGCTTTGGATGAGAAAAAGCATATGTATTTCAAGTCTCTTCTTGATTGTAGCTTATGTATAGTATGTTTGTTGTTTTTTTTTAAGGGTGAATTTTGAGTGTAGAAACAAAATTGTTTCATAGTTCTTCAAATTTAACCTTGTGTAATTTAAGGAAACTGTCAAAGATACTATTAAGAAAACTGCATTTTTTACTGTTTTGTGTATTTTACATCGAGTAATGGATTTTATTTGGTGTTTCCTCCAGATTGAAATTAAACTGAAAAAGCCAGAGGCTGTGAGATGGGAAAAGCTAGAGGGGCAAGGAGATGCGCCTACGCCAAAACAATTCGTAGCAGGTTTGTTTTCTGGCCTTGATAGCTTTATATTCATATTGTGTTGTGTAACTGAAATTAAATAGTAATGAACATTCTTTTTGCTTTCATTATTTATGTTCTGAAGATAAGATACATTGAGTATAATAAGGTTGCTCCATAATGAATATAAAGTAGCCTTTCTGTTGAAAGTTCTAACGTCTCAAATTCTAAGAATAAAATGAATGGCAGCAAAATCCCAGAGGGAGTTGGGATTTACTGTTTACCACGTAAAGTTTATGACATCAGCTGGAGGATGTTTATTTTTGTGTGTTGGCCCCTCCTGTTGTTTCTTTTTGGGTTGTAAGTTGGTTTACTCAGCTGATGTATTTCCCCCTCTTCCCTCTCCCTCTCTCACTTACTCCTTTCTATTCCTTCTACTGATACTGTCTTCTGTTTTCCTGGAATTTTCAGGGCTTTACAGGGTACGGTATCTACCCCATTTCTTATTGCTAATTTAGAGATGAACACAAATAGGTAATAAATGCCAAAGGGAAGTCTAGGAAAAGAGTAGAAAACCAGGCTTCATTGTATATATAGTCCTGTAAGAAACAGACAGAACTTTGTGTTGACGTCAATTTTAAGTATATGCAATAACTAGATAAGAATTTTTGTAATGGACTAATTCACAGCACACTCAGAACTACAACCTAAGATTATGTTTTATAGCAATAGCCTCATTAATGAGTGGAGGGAAATTTCTTTTTATTAGAAGTAATAGTCTGATTTAATGAATGAAACAAGCTAACATGTGTCTCAGCTACTTTTTCTGATTTTGACTGCTTTCTTCTGTAACAGAAAACACATATTCCTTGTGGCACCTTTTAGAAAACACCAAGTTATTCAACAGATTCGTGTGTGTATGTGTGTGTGTGTATATGTAGTTATTTCTTTAGAAATAATTTTGGATGTTTAGAAGTTTCAAAAATAAGAGATTCTCATGTAGCTTTCACCCAGTTTCCCCCGGTGATAGGGTCTTAACTAGTCCAGTGATTACCTCTTAAGTAGTCTATGGTATAATTTTCAAAATCAGGGTATTAACACCAACAGATACTTTCTAAGGACTGAAGTATATCTAGTTGGTATTTAAATTGGAAATTTATATGTGCTTCTTTATATGTGCTTTCATAAATTGGAAAGATATATGTGCTTCTTTTAGGACTGACTGCAAGAGATTTTGAGGCTGAGGTTTATATGTAGCTGAAAGGTTTAAAAAAATATAATCACTTTAAATGTAGTATCTTACTTGATTCTAACAGCCGTGCATAACAGGCAGCCCCTTAGTACTCCTCCCATTTTGCAGGCTCAGAAAAGTTAAGCTCAAGATTATCCAGCAGTTCTCATTGTCTAGGACTAAAATCTAGGTCTTCTCAGTTGGTTCCGGTTACTCTGTTAACCCCTTGTCTACTCGCTGCATACTGCTTGTTGTTGCATTTTCTAACAATGGAAACAGTCTTTGCCGACATGAGTATCTATGTAGTTATTTGATTTTTTTTTTTTTTTTTGAGATGGAGACTCGCTCTGTCACCCGGGCTGGAGTGCAGTGGCCGGATCTCAGCTCACTGCAAACTCCGCCTCCCGGGTTTACGCTGCCTCAGCCTCTGGAGTAGCTGGGACTACAGGCGCCTGCTTAGTTTTTTGTATTTTTTTAGTAGAGACGGGGTTTCACCGTGTTAGCCAGGATGGTCTCCATCTCCTGACCTCGTGATCCGCCCGTCTCAGCCTCCCAAAGTGCTGGGATTACAGGCTTGAGCCACTGCACCTGGCCAGTTATTTGATATTATAGTGAATGAGCAGGGAGGTTACTCATCTCTCAGTAGTAGTTCTACCATCTCCAGGTGTTAAAAGTTTTTCTGAGATTAAAGATCAAGGTTTTTTAGTGTTATAGTTACCATGTTTTTTCTAAACTCAACACCTTAGATATTCAAGATGATATTCTTCCTGTCCTGTTTTTGTAAGAAATTAATATGCTTGTCAGATTCCTGTGTATTGCAAGCTGGAGACTGTAGATAAGGGCAAGTCACTTAACCTATCTGAGAGCCAGCTTGCTTATCTGTAAAATGGAGATTAAAACCTCTGTGCTCATGCTTCCTGGGAGTCAGCGTTAGGATTAATTAAATCCATGTTTCCCGGGCTCTTAACTTACCATGGCATGCATTTTTTTGTTTTATCTGGCTTCTAGTGAAAATGTACAAAGATAGAAGGATGTCTAGTAGAAGGAAGGTGGATAGGATTTTCAAAACAATATATTTGGCCCTGAAAAAAACTATGTGTTGGTGGTGTGTGTGTGGTTTTGTCTTGTTTTGAGGAGGAATGGGCAGGGAGAAAGTCGGTTTACAAGTGAAGAGAAAGCGTAGAAAAACAGTGGGTGTTAAATAGTTTCTCAGCTATTTTGACAAAAGCTAAAGATATAGAGAGCAGTATTGGGAGGAACATTTAGATTAGTATTAATGTATCCTAATACATGCTGATGGGGAAATTTTGAATTGGGTTTTTTGAAGACTACAGCTGTTTTGTCCAACACAGTAGCTGCTAGCCACACGTTACCTGTTCAGCACTTGAAATATGACTAGTCTGCATTGAGATCTGCTATGTGAAATATATGCCACAGTTTGAAGACTTAGTATGAAAAAAAGAAAAGAATGTAAAATATATTCTTTTTGTTGTTTTTGGTTTCTTTCTTTTTTTTTTTTAAAAAGAGAGTCTTGCTCTGTCAGCCAGGCTGGAATGCAGTGGCACTGTCATGGCTCAGTGTAGCCTCGACCTCTTGGACTCAAGCAGTCCTCCCACCCCAGCCTTCCAAGTAGCTGGTACTGCAGGCATGTGCCACCATGCTCAGCTATTTTTTTTTTTTTTTTTTTCCCCATAGAGATGGGTTCTCGCTATGTTGCCCAGGCTGGTCGCACACTTCTGGCCTCAAGCAATCGTCCTACCTTGGCCTCCCAAAGTGCTGGGATTACAGGCGTGAGCCCCCATGCCCAGCCTCTGTTGGTTTCATGTCAAAATGATACTATATGTGATATATATCAGGTTAAATAAAATATATTATTAAACTGCATTTCACCTGATTCTTTTTAGTAATGTAGTTACTAGAAATTTTAAAATTATATATGTGACTCGCATTTGAGGCTGTCATATTTTTATTGGACAGTGAACAGAGCTGCTCCTATAGCTACTAGGTTGGCTAGTTATTTTCTAATTATTTGTGTGCCAAGATCTTGATGCCTTTGGTCCTTGGAGCAATCTTGGCAGTACCCCGAGCCCCTGGGCCAGTGGCCTTTCTGGCTGCAAGCAGCCTCTGTTTACAAACCCCAGTGTGCCCTACAAATACTGTTATTTGCTAGGTGTATGGCATGTGGACATTGAACTTCAGATCATCAAGTGTAGTACTTTAAACATTTAGGCATTACTTATTGTTACTGCCTATTGAAATAATCTTATATTTTTGATGTGGGGAGAGTATGCAGTGGCATGGATGATTATTTATATTTTCAGGCTATTTATACTCTGAAAGATACTAAATACTTTAGAAAAAGCCACATTTTTAACATTAATAAAATCTTAGTTCTGAAAGATTTCATAGGTATCCTTTAAAAAAACTTTTATTTTTAAAATTGTTTGTACTGTCTTTGCAACTTTTCTGAAAACATAAAAGTTCTGTATATTTTTCATCTAGTTTCTCCTGTTATCAGCATGAAGAATCTGCTTTTAATCTAATCTAATTTTATATAATGTGTCAGAAGTTTACACTTTATTGAGTTATTGTACTCAAAAGAAATCCCCAGATTTTACATTATGGTAACTGACTCAGTTTTTAGAAATGTAAATTTTATTACTGATGTGTATACCAGAAAGACACTTACTGCATACATGAAATTCAGTAACCTAAACTGTTTGCTAAGATGTTCCATATACATGGTCACAGAGTTTACATATTCTTGACATAATTGAAATATGTTGATTAATTACTTCTGCCTTTTTTACTTCACAGATGTAAAGAACCTATATCCATCATCATCTCCTTATACAAGAAATTGGGATAAATTGGTTGGTGAGATCAAAGAAGAAGAAAAGAATGAAAAGTTGGAGGGAGATGCAGCTTTAAACAGATTATTTCAGCAGATCTATTCAGATGGTTCTGATGAAGTGAAACGTGCCATGAACAAATCCTTTGTAAGAATATAAACTTTTTAAGATATATATATGGGAGCAAATTTTACATATTTTAAAAGAGAAAATTGGTAATGTGAGACCAAATTGCGTGTACTATAGCTGGGAGAACTTTTTGAATAAGGTCTGTCTGAACGTTTCTTTTTGCTCTAAGAGTAATTTTTGAGGAAGTTGAAAACTTATGGAAGAGATGAGAAACAAGTAGTTTATCCTAAGTAGGTATTTTTTATCAGTGAGTTAGATTGATATGGAGTCATCTTACTTGGATTTATCACAGTAGCTGAGTGAACTTCTGTTGTGTCCCTTCTAGATTCGTGTGTAGTGTCAATGTTAGAGATGAAGAATATAGATGTGAAACTTTCCAGAATAGTGTTTGCAAGTAGAAGGTGCACATTATTCATTGGTTTAACAACTCTCTTGATTAAGAGAATTCAGGCTTTTTGTCAGGGCAGCATAAATACCTAAATTAGACCTCAAGATTTTAGTAACAATTCGTCACTGTAGAACTTTATAGATTATTTAGCTTGCAGTTGTAATCATGTGACTTTTATTAATACCAGTAGCTCTGGAAATATGACTCTTTTAAGACATTCATATTTACAGTAGAAAGTTAAAATTAGTATTTAATAATTTAATATTTAGTTAATGTGGTTGAGGCTCAGGTATTTCACACTTAAGAAATATGTGGTAATTGGTCATGATTGTGCTTTTCACAGTTTGTTTATTTAGAGACAAGGTCTTGCCCTGTTGCCCAGGCTTGAGGGCAGTGCGTGATCTCGGCTCACTGCAGCCTCTGTCTGCCAGGCTCAAGTGATTCTCCTACCTCAGCCTCTGCAGTAGCTGGGACCATAGACATACACCACCACGCCTGGCTACTTGATTTCTTGTAGAGATGGGGTTGCGCCATGTTGCCCAGGCTGGTCTCGAACTCCTGGCTTCAATCTAGCCACCTCAGCCTCCCAAAGTGCTGGGATTACAGGCGTGAGGCACCTCAACCAGCCTCACTATTAATTAAAATTTTTTTTGCATCACTTTTGGGAGGCTGAGGTGGGAGGATCACTTGAGCTAAAGATCTTGAGACCAGCCTGGGCAACATAGAGAGACCCTTATCTCTACCAAAAAAAAAAAAAAAAAATTAGCTAGGCCTGGTGGCATGTGCCTGTGGTCCCAGCTACTTGGGAAGATGAGGTGGGAGGATCTCTTGAGCCTGGGAAGTCAAGGTTGCAGTGGGTTATTTTTTGTGCCACTGAACTACAGCCTGGGCAACAGAGACCCTCTCAAAAAAAAAAAAAAAAAAAAAAAGTTTTCATTAAACTTTTAGTTTTGAGATAATTGTAGATTCACATGCAATCCTAAGAAATGAGATTCTTTCTACCTTTTACAAAGTTTCCACTGATGGAAACATTTTGCCAAAACTATAGTACAGTGTCACAACCATAATATTGACAGTTAAGATAGGGAACGTGGCTGCATGCAGTGGCTAACACCTTTAATCCCAGTGCTTTGGGAGTCTGAGACCACAGGATCCCTTGAGGCTAGACCAGCCTGGGCAATGTAGTAAGATCTGGTCTCTACAAGAAATTTAAAAACTAGCTTGTTGTCATGGTGTTGTGCCCCTGTCAGCTACTCAGGCATCTGAGGCAGGAGTATTGTTTGAGCCCAGGAGTACAAGCTTGCAGTGAGCTATGATCATGCCACTACACTCAGCCCGGGCAGCAAAGTGAGACCCTATCTCTTTAAAAAAAAAAAAAAAGAGAAAGAGATACAGAAAGCATTTTCATGGATTCCAAGGATCACTTATGTTGCTGTTTTATGGCCATACTCACCCCACCTCTACCCTTCCATGATCCCTGATGATCACACATCTGGCAATCTTTGTCAGATATGTAGTTTGCAAATATTTTCTCCCAGTTTGTAGTTTTCATTTTCTTAGCAGGGTCTTTCGTAGAGCCAAAATATTTCATTTTGATTAAGTCTAATTTACTGTTTTTTATGGATCATGCATTTAGTTTCAAGTCTGTTAACTCTTTGCTTAGTCCTAGATCTCAAAGACTTTCTCCTATTTAAAAAATAAATAAAAGTAATATTGTTTTACATATTACATTTATTTTTTATTTAGAGATAGGATCTCATTCTGTCACCCAGGCTGGAGTATAGTGGCACAGTCACAGTTCACTGTAACCTCAAAAGTCCTGGGCTCAAGTGATCCTCATGCCTCAGGCTCCCAAGTAGATGGGATTACACATCCATGCTACCATGCTTGGCTAATTTTTAAAATTTTTTGTAGAGGTCCGGGGGCGGGGGTCTCTGTGTTGCTTAGGGTAGTCTCGAACTTCTGGCCTCAAGCAGTTCTTTGGCCTTGGTCTCCTGAAGTGCTAGTGTTACAGGTGTGAGCAACAGCACCTGGCCTACATATTACATTTAAGTCTGTGATGCATTTTGAATTTTTATGTCAAGTGTGAGATTTAACTTGAGATTCCTTTTTGTGGGGTGGATAGTATGTTCAAGTGTTCTGGCACCTATCTCTTCTCATTGAATCACTTTTGCACCTTTCTCAAAAATCAGTTGAGCATATTTGTGTGAGTCTATTTCTAAGTTCCCCGTTCTGTTAGATTGAGCTGTATGTGATCTATATGTATGTTCCTCTGTCAGTCCCACCGTCTTAAACTGTAGCTGTATAAGTCTGAAATTGGGCAGACTCATTCCTCCTACTTTATCCTTTATTTTCACAATTGTTTTTAGATACTCTAACTCATTTGTCTTTCTGTGTAAATTTTAAAATAAAGTGATGTATATGTAATTTTGGTGTTCATTACTAGAATCTAGACATACAGTTAATTTTATGTTTATCTTGTATTCTATGACGTTGCTGGACTCAGTTGTAGGAATATTTTTGGATTGTTACTTTTTTAATGTGGACAATCATCTTCAAATATGGAAGTTTTATTTATCTGCAAATAGAGTTTTATTACATCCTTTTCTATCTGTGTGCCTTTTATCTCCTTTTCTTGCTGTGTTTCACTGGCTGCAACTTCAGCACTGTGTTGAGTAAGAGTAGTGAGAGTGGACATCCCCCTTGCTTCCCATTTTAAGGGAAAAGTATTTATTGTTTCATCATTAAGTAGAATGTTAACTGTAAGTTTTTGGTAGATGATCTTTGTCAAGTTATGAAAGTTCTGTTGTATTCCTATTTTTCTGAAATTTTTTATCATTAACTTTTAACATTGACTTTTTGTCAGATGTTTTCTCTGTGTTGATAGGATTATATGATTTTTCTTCCTTAGCCTGTTAATGTGGTTTTATATGATTAATATGATTGATTTTCAAGTATTGAGACAGTCTTGCATGAGCCCTACTTTGTCATATAGTGTATCTCTCAATTCTATCTTCTAATGTTTTGTTATGGGTTATTGTGTCTATATTCATGAGGAATGTGAGTCTGTACTTTTTGTGCTATCTTTGGTTTGGCGTCAGAGTAATACTTTGTAAAATGAATTAGGAAGCATTTCATTCTCTTCTATTTTTTAGAAGATATTGTGTATAATTGGTGTTAACTTTTTTTAAGTATTTGGCAGAACTCACCAGTGAAACTGGAGATTTCTTTACTAGGAGATTTAAAGTTATGAATTTAGTTAACCTAAAGTTTTTATCGGACTGTTCAAATTGTCTATTTCATATGGGTGACTTGTGGTTTGTGTTTCTGATAAACTGATCCATTGTGTCCAAGTTGTCAGTGTTTATTTAGTCCCTTATTCTTTTTGTTTGTTTTTTGTCTTTTTTGAGATGGCATTTTTCTGTCGCCCAGGCTAGAGTGTAGTGGTATGATCATAGCTCACTGCAGCCTCAGCTTCCCAGGCTCAAGTGATCCTCTCATCTCAGCCTCTCTAGTAGCTGGGACTACAGGCATGTGCCACCATGTCCAACTAACGTATTTTTATTTTATTTTATTTTGTAGATATGGGGTTTTGCCATGTTGCCCAGTCTGGTCTGTAACTCCTGAGCTCAAGCGATCCACCCATCTTGGCCTCCCAAAGTGCTGGGATTACAGTAGTGAGCCACCGCACCCGGCCTTGCTTACTCTTTTGATGTCTGCAGGGTTTATAGTGATACTTTTTTACCATTCTTATAATGGTAATTTGTGTCTTTTCTCTTTTTTCTTAGTCTCCTAGAGATTTAAAGGACACCTTATCTAGCATATGCTTACCCATCGGCTAGATTTGCTTATTTTATTGAATTTTTTCTCCCAAAGAATTAGCTCTTTGTTTCATTTTTTTCTCTATTTTTTGTTCTACATTTTATTCATTTCTATTATTATTATTATTCTGCTTGCTTTAGGTGCATTTTGTTCTTATTTTTTTAGGTTCTTAAGATGTACATTTATCTACTATCTATTTCTATGTATTCACTCATTTTTGAGACAGGGTCTCCCTCTGTCGCCAGGGTGGAGTGTAGTGGTGCGATCATGGCTCAGTGCAGCCTTGACCTCCTGGGCTCGAGTAATCTTCCTGAGTAGCTGGGATGACAGATATGCACCACCATGCCCAGTTAATTTTTTTAAATTTTTTTAGAGACGAGGTCTCCCCATATTGCCCAGGCTGGTCTTGAACTCCTGAGCTCAAGCAGTCCCCTCCCATGTTGACCTCCCGAAGTGCTGAGATTACAGGCATGAGCCACCATGCCTGGCCTGTTGTCTGAAAGTTTTCTGTTTTCCTAGGCAGCGTCCTTTCCTGATCTCTTGGCAAGAGAGAGCAGGGGTTTGTTGGGACTTTTTTTTTCTTGTTTGTCCTCCTTGGTGTTTCCAGCTTCTTCAGCTCCAAGTCTAGGATATATGAGGCAAAAGGAAAACCCAGAATTTGCCACCACGTCATTTCTTGAGTCCCAAGGTCCTTGGTAGGTCTGTCTTCACTTTACTTTTTGGTGTCTTTACTTTTTTTTCTAGACAGGATCTTGCTCTGTTGTTCCAGCTGGAATACAGAGGTGCGATCATGAATCACTGCAGCCTTGAACTCCTGAGCTCAAGTGATCCTCCCACCTGAGCCTCCTCAGTAGCTGGCACTATAGGTGTGTGCCACCACACCTGGCTATTTTTCTTCTTTTTTTTTGTATAGAGATAAGGTCTCGCTGTGTTGAACAGGCTGTTCTTCAGCTCTTGGACTTAAGCAATCCTCCTGCCTTGCCCTCACAAAATACTGGGATTATAGGTGTGAGCCACTGCACCTGGCCCCTTGTAGAGTCATTTTATCTTTGTTTCATATGTAGCGTCTAGGCTGTTTAGTCGATTTACTACTTGGAAGAATAGGAAAAGTACATCTACTCGATCTTCCCAGGAGAAGTCGTTCTCACTTTTGACTTTTGAAAGTATGGTAGACAAAAGTAGCAGTATGTCAGATCAAAGATGTCAAGTCACATCAAATCAAAGATCAAAGATAGAATCTGCAGTCATTTTCATATAGAAACTTTGACAATTATAACCAAATTATGTATACCTATAAAATAAGCCATCTGTGCAGCAACATTGATCTGGACTATACCAGGGACTTCTGTCCTTGTGGGAATACAAAAGAAACTAGACCTCTTTCTCTGTAATCTCCTTATCTAGTTGGGACAAAAGACCAACATATACAAAATAATCACAGGGAAATGCTAAATTGCCCTGCAGTCTATTAGAGATGCGGTGGCAGGGGGCGGAGCACGTTAAGTGTCATCAGCAAATATGGTCAGATTGTAAACTAATCTACTTTTTTTCAGTTTTATAACTGAAGGTCCTCTTGGGGTAGTTTGTGTTTGTTTGTTTATTTGAGAGAGAGTTTCGCTGTGTCACTCAGGCTGGAGTGCAGTGACGCGATCTCAGCTCACTGCAACCTCCGCCTCCCAGATGCAAGTGATTCTCATGACTCAGCCTCTGGAGTAGCTGGGACTACAGGCGCATGCCACTACGCCCAGCTAATTTTTGTAGTTTTAGTGGAGACGGGGTTTCACCATGTTGGCCAGGCTGGTCTTGAACTCGTGACCTTAGGTGATCTGCCCGCCTCAGCCTCCCAAAGTGCTGGAATTACAGACGTGAGCCACTACGCTCAACCTTGGGGTAGTTTATTATACAGATTTGTCAAATGTAATTCAGTCATTTTATTTAAAGCCTACTATGTGCTAGGCCACTGTGTTTAGAACTGGGATATGAATATTAGTAAAATGTACTCCTTGTCCTTAATGAGCTCTCAGCATTAGTTGAAGTCGAGGGTGGAAAGCAGATATAAGAAGACAGAACCTTAAATTGCAACAATGCAGTGGGACACATGTTATATAAGTGTAATTAGGCTTACGTAGACGAATTTACAGGAATAGAGAAATAAGAGGTCAGAGTAAAGCCACGGAGAGGTGATGACATTTCATGTTTGGAAGATGACTAAGGACACAAAAACTCACAGCTGTGCAAAAAAGCCCATGTAAGGGAGCTCAGTAGAGCGTGTCGGACATGGGGTTACATTGAGGTTCCAGTGTGTAGGATGTGTAACTGTATACATTGGCCACTAACCCAATTGGTTATTTTTAAGTGTTTATATTTTAATAATTTGCACTATTCTTTGCTGTGGTTCAAATCCATTGATTTTTATCATGTTAAAATAAGAAACGTCCAGATGTTTTTTAAATATATTAATGAATATTCTTGGGTTGTTAGTGGGTGGTATATTCAGTAGATGGTAAATAAATGACCAATTTTTCACTGAGACACTGACTTTCTATACCTGCATATATGTACCTTGATTTTTAAAGAATTTTGGATAAACTTGCTTGTGTTTGGCACAAAGTAGAGGCCTTAAAGTTCTCTTCAGCTGATATAGAAAGAGATTATTTTGACTGGTCTTTATGGTCTTCAGCAAAAGAAATTACAATAATCACTGTTTTGGGGGAGCTAATAATTGAAGGTAGTTTAATTTGAACCTTCATTTGAAGGTCGTTTTTCCCCATATATGTCTATGCTCATTAGCAAAGGATGTAGTGCACCTCCCTGACTACTTTAGGATTTCCTTTTCAGATTTTATTTAACTTGTTAACCTCTGGAATGCCTAAAATTAAATAAAAATACTGTTTTGAGTTTATATTGAGCTATGTATTTTGTCTGTGTGTAATCTGTTATATATATGTATTGTATAGAGTTTATATTGAGCTGTATATAATAGCCAATATTTGGGGCTCTATGCTTGGAACATTTTTAGAAAAATATTCTGTTTTGATTATATGGTCCAGGAATTAATCTCATTTTAATTTTTCATTGCAGATGGAGTCGGGTGGTACAGTTTTGAGTACCAACTGGTCTGATGTAGGTAAAAGGAAAGTTGAAATCAACCCTCCTGATGATATGGAATGGAAAAAGTACTAAATAAATTAATTTGCTCTCACTGTATTATGTATATTCACCTAATGCCCGTTGTGTATTGATATTGCATTCTTGAATTTTGAACACTGAATATCTTTTTGAAAGATTATACCTCTTTACCTCTTTGTGCTTTAGAAATTATTTTCCTTCAAGTGTTCAAGTCTAATGAAGAATGAAGATAACATTTTATCACTTCTGTCCTTAAAGATTTCAGACATGGTGAAACTGAATAAAGCGTATCACTTGCTCCTAGATAGATTCATTCTATCTAGTTGTGGGGATGGAGAAATCTTTAATGGTATATTTTGGGTTATTGCCTTATTTTTGATGCAGTATTCTGTCAGTAATTTATTAGATCTGGCAGCTTTGGGTGAGCATAGATTTTTCACCTTCAGTGTTACATTGTGTTTGCTTTTAAAAACTGCGTTTGAATGGAGTTGTAAATACAATTTTTCTATGAAGACGTTTGGTTTATTTACCTTTTTCTTAAGTTTTTAATGAGAACTTTGAGAAATTATCACAGGGAGTTCCCATTTAGTTCTTTTAATGGGAAGAATTTGTAATTTTAATTGCACTGAGGTATTTTGGTCCTTGCAAATTTCTGTATAAAACATAGATACCTGAGTTTTAACACACTGCAAGTTTATACTAAGGGTAATCTGCAAAGGTGGGGCAAAGAAGGTTCTAGGAAAGCCCAACTCTACTTGCTTCTTTTATCACAGCAGGATTCCTGAAATTACAGCATTGGTGGGTTTTTTTGGTGTGTTTTTTTCTTCTTTATTAGAAAATCTCTGTTATCACGTCCCCATGATTACTTTGGTTTCATTGGTTTATGGTAACTGCTGTGAATAAATTAATGTGTATATGTTTATTATTTACTCTGTGCCTAGAATATATAGATATCATGAAAATACAAAAAGTAAGAGACATGATTATTAACTTCAAAGAGCTTATAAATGTAGCAGGGAAAAAATAACATTCATGAAGGAACTGTGTAAAGACTGAATGCTGAACTCAGCATAAATACACTTTAGGGACAGGAAAGTGTTATGTGATTAAAATTGTTTACAGTCTAAGCTGTTATAAAGTATAGGCTACGGATGACCTGTAGATCTGACTTTGTTTTCTCACCATAATTTTCTCAACTGTAATACCCCAGAGGTTGGTCTCAGCTCTGTTAGGTGTCATAACATTTTTATGGCACAGCACTACCCTGTACCATCAGAGCAGGGTGAGTGGGAGGCAAACAGGTCATCATTTCAGCCTCCAAAACAGTAGGAATTCAGCTCCTTCCTTCTAGTCCTTTGTTGTGGGGTGTAGGGGAGTTACTAAGGAAAGTTTCAGTAGGGTGATACCAGATAGTGCCCAAACCTGTTACAGCTTGGTTAAGCATTCTAGAGTTTTCATGTGTCCTTTTGTCCACTTAGAGCTACTAGATACATTTTTTGTTCTTGAACACTGAAGGAAAAGGCAAAATTAAGTTTTTGGTTGGATGGATTTCTAAAGTTTTCTCCTTAGGGAAATAGGATAGTGACTTTTGTATTCTGTGTGTTAAATTTTCTCAGTACCAATAATCCTAAGATGAGGAGGAAGGCTATTGCTGCAGAGGCATAGTTGAGGACGTACAGCACTACACCAGAAACAGGAATGCTTAGCTCTAGCAGATCTTCTGTCATTGCTGCCTTCATAATCTTCAACAGGTTTAGGCCTTTCTTAGTTCCTTTGTAAATAATCCATAGAGTCTTAAGTGTTATAATTAAAGTTCCATGATTCTAAATACAGAAGCATATTTTTGCCGCTTAACTTTTTCTTTATTAAAAATGACACTACTAAAATAGCTGTTTTGAGCAGGTGCTTTAGCTCATGCTTGTAATCCCAGCATTTTGGGAGGCAGAGACGGGCAGATCACCTGAAGTAAGGAATTCAAGACCAGCCTGGCCAACATGGTGAAGCCCTGTCTCTACTAAAAATGCAAAAATTAACCAGATGTAGTGGCATGCACCTGTAGAATTGCTTGAACCGGGAGGCAGAGGGTGCGGTGAGCCAAGATCATGCTGCTGCACTCCAGCCTGGGTGACTCCATCTCAAAAAAAATAAAATAGCTGCTTTTTAAAAAAAATATAATACTATCTTTGGTTGTTTTTAAAGGACATACTATCTAGAATATGCTTACCTATTGGCTAGATTTGCTAAGTGTTGTGGGATTTGGGATTTTGCTGGTCTAAAGGGAGTTTGTAAAACACATGACTGAAAGCATTATAAAACGCACCTTGTCAAATACATTAGATTTATAGGTCAAGGGAATTTTGAAAAGTAAGCTAGATTGCTGCTCAAGAATCCCACTCTAAAGTACTGCTTTGTTTAGTCATTCTAGATTATGGAAGCTTGTAAGCCTCCAGAAAGTTAAAACAAAAAACTTCATTCTGATTGAGAGCCTCTTAACTCTATCCTTATTCTCCGCTATCTCATTATAGCTATTAATTGTTCCCTCTTTGTTTCTAGACTCCAATTTTCATTTCTCAAATTTTGGTTCTCTTAGTGCTCTTAGTATAAGCCTTTTGTTTGTTCAGAATGTATATATTTTTCCTCTTAAGTGTTTCCTTTCCCTTTTAAGGTTAGCCCTGGAATACATATCTTTCTTGGTCTTATAGACTTCATCTCTTCTGATTTCCGTAATAATTGGCACCTTGATGACTCCAGAATTCTCCCACTGTCTTCAAAGAGAATTATCTGCTGCTTTGAACTCTGCTATCTAGTAATCTCGTTAGGTATCTATACCACAAGTTTGAAACATCAAGGTCAATTTTGATAATTTCCTGTCTTACGTCTTAATACCCATTCAGAGTTGATTGCCAACTAACAAACTCAGTCTTTAGCACTGACACTTACTGGCCAATCTGTTTTCTCTCTATAGGGAATGAAATGGAATGGAGAAAGAGGATAGCTTGCATTAATAACTTAGCTTTTAAGAACATTTTTATTCCTTTTTAAAAAAAGTTTTTAGAGACACGGTCTTGCTGTATCCAGGCTGGAGTGCAGTGGCACAATCATGGCTCACTGTAGCCTCCAACTCCTAAGCTTAAGTAATCCTCTTGCCTCAGCTTCCCAAAGTGCTGGGATTACAGGTGTGAGCCACTGTGCCTGGCCCACATTTTCTTTCTTGGCTCACTGTAGCCTTGATCTTTCAGGCTCAAATGATTCTCCCATCTCAGCCTCCTGAGTAGCTGGGACCACAGGCATGCACCACCACGACTGGCTAATTTATGTATTTTTTTTTTTTTTTTGTAGAACCAGGTTTCACTGTGTGCCCAGGCTCGTCTCGAACTTCTGGGCTCAAGTTATCTTCCTGCCTCAGCCTCCCCAAAGTGCTAGGATTACAGGAGTGAGCCACTACAGTGGCCCGGTCATGAACTTCAAGTAAATGTTTAAAATGGAGATATATCACAATGCTATTATGAGTTATTTAGATAGAAATGTTAATTTAGTTCAGTACTTAAATATTTTTTGGCTATGCTTTCCCATTTTACCTTTCTCTACTCCCTCCTCAGTTACCTACATATTGGATTAGATTATTGATCTCTGAGATATATCTCTGACCCAGAGCAAAACTGCATATTAATTTACCATCTAATCGGCCTAATGCACTTAAATTCCTTTGGAATCTTTCTTGTTCAGATTAGTGTGCATCTCTCTAAACTTGTAGCTTTACTGACATTTCCAAAAAAAGGTAGAAGGTTTCTAGGTGGTGGTTGTTTTTCTTAGTTCCTAGAGCCACTTACCCTTTGTAACTAGCTCTAAAGAAGTACATCTTTTGCTCATACCTGCTACTGTAACCATATGAGAGTATGGATTTAAGTTATTTCTGCCTAGAGGAACTAGAGAGATGATAAAAGCTAGAAGGACAAAATGCTGGTTTCTGTGCAGGGAAGGGTCATATGTAGTTTTAAATAAAAGGGATCATCTCTTTTGATGCGGTTTCCCATTCTCCATCTGTGCATTTTTTAAATCGTAAGATCATTTTACACCGAGAGATTTTATTTTCGGAACTTGTGGGGAAAATATTGATTTACCTACAAATGTTACTATTTGGAGCCATCCTTGTGTTTTGTTTCTGAGATTAATTTAACTCTTAGCCTCACTTCCTACCTTAGTAAAGTTGCCACTCCAAGTCGGCTAAAATCATATACAATTCTAACCCGTTACTGCAAATAGTGGTAGTGACTGTGTACTAGCATTTCTTATGGACTGGGTGGCACTATCTCATTTTTAATAGCCCTTCAATAGCATCCCATTATTGCAAATCAGAAAGATAATGGGGCCAAAGTAAAGCTCTTTGCCTAAGTCACTCTACTAGTAATTGCAGTAGCTGGGATTTGAACCCAGACCTGTCAGACTCCATTACCCATACAACTGCAGTCTTCTCATCAGATGTGGAATGAATGATTTTTATTACCAAATCAGCTGACTGGAAATGGAGGCAGAGAATATGCAAGTTAAAGAACTAATTTTTTTTTTTTTTTTTTTTGAGACGGAGTCTTACTCTGTTCCTCAGCCTGGAATGCAGTGGTGCAATCTCGGCCCACTGAAGCCTCCACTTCCTGGGTTCAAGCGATTCTTCTACCTCAGCCTCCTCAGTAGCTGGGGTTACAGGTGTGTGCTGCCACACTGCCATGCCCAGCTAATTTTTGTATTTTTAATAGAGATGAGGTTTCACCATGTTGGTCAGGCTGGTCTTGAACTCCTGACCTCATGATCCATCCACCTTGGCCTCCCAAAATGCTGGGATTACAGGTGTGAGCCACTGTGCCCAGCCAAGAACTAATTCTTATATATGAGCTGGGAAGATATGTTCCTAGAGATCCTCACTTTAAGTAGGAAAGCTTATTAGGAATCCAAATCTCTTGCCTCATACAGAAAGTAATGCAAAGAAGTAGTCTGATTTTTGAGAGGGTGATGTTTTTCTCAAATCCAGATTACAGAGAAACAGTATACTTTTAACAACTGTTGCATGTGTAAGAAGACTGGCACATGATGTCAGTGAAATTCTTTTTTTCCTTTAACTTGAGAGCTCTCATACCAGTTCCATTGTACAAATGCTGAGATTGTTTCAAGGTTTTATTCCTACAGACATGTTAGGATTTGTGTATCACTGATTTCTCCAATAAAATTAGAATAATTCAGGTTAGTTCCTTTTTCCTAACTTAGTTAGCATTTTCTGTGTGTGTGTATATATATATATATTTTTTTCTTTTTTCTTTTTTTTTTTTTAAATTTTGGCTTGTCTTGAGTCTTCTGGATACT